TGTTTGATTAATCAAGCATATCTCATCACAATTTTTTTTTCATTTTATTCCTTTGTCTACATCATCTTCCTCCTCCAAGCCTACCTCCATCTGCCATCTTTCCTTTTTTGTACTTCCTCTCCTACTTGCCGCCCCTCTGATTTTCCAAAGCCTCTCTCAAAATCCAAATTAAGTGTTGTACCACTATTTGGCCTTCCACCTCAAAAAGGCATAGTTTTGTAAAGTACCATGCTATAATCGGGGGGAAAACCTCAAACAATTCTAGTTTTCAATTAATACAATACTCATTCAAACAAAAGACAATACCAATTTCTGCCTTAGTATCTGTGGGTCACATGTATTAGGCCTGCTTTTTGGGTAACCCATTTCACTAAGGAATATAAATTAATCTTACAGAAATTGTAAGAATCCCAGTAAAAATATGTACCTATGTTAGTCACCAAAAACCAGTAAGTAAGTAGGTGGTAAGAAACCATGAGGACTGATCAAAAGGATATGATTGGTGTTTGGTGGATATTTTCATACACTAAGCAAATGGCTTGAGGTGACCAAACAAAGACCAGAAATAACTTTTAAATAGTTACCTACCTTTTCAGCTAAGTTTTCTGATCTAAGAAGACTTGGTCACATTAAAAAAATTAAGTTCCTTCAACATTAGAGGATGAAACTCTTCCATCAGTTCCCCAATTATCAAAAAAGTAAAGTCAGAAATGTTATAGTATTCTACCTTAAATGATTAATCAAAGAGAAAGTGATGTAAAAGATTCACACCTGATTTTAAAGGAACACTTAATTTATAAATGTTTTTCCTATGAAGGGGAGGCAAGAACAGAAAGGAAATGGCAAAATAAGAAGGAAAACAATACCATGATGATTTTTCCACCCTCCTGCTGAGAGTTTCAATTATTTTGGGGGTTACAATGTAAAAATCCACCACGTTGAACTTTTTACACACCTTCTCTGTGACAATTGAATCACTGAGTCACAACCAACTGGGGTTGTAATTGTTTATTAGCAAGACCACTACTGCTTGCACAAATCACATAAGGGTCCACTGATGGCTCTAGTGTCTTTTTTATCTTTCCACATCCAGTGATTTCATTTCAAGCCATTTGCTTTGAATACAGATGATAAAAGGTAGCAATTGAAAAACAACAACAGAAATCTGAAATGACCACCACAGGCAATGGGGCAATTGCAAAGAAAAGGACCGCAAACCAAAGCAGTAACTTACGGTAGCTACTTTCGCTATCGCTGGCATTAGAAGAAACATGTTCTGCAAGAACAGCACAGCAAATTAAAGAGATACCAAGCATTGAAGAGCAGCCAGAACTGAAAGGAATACACTCATGCAAGGCTACTAGAAATGTGAGCGAAAGGCAAGTAAAAGCCGCAGAGGAGGCTGCATTAAGAAAACTCAGATAAGATAAAGAAGATGAAAACTTTATCTCCATTTTACAGGAACCCGCTGCTTGATTGCTGTTTCTTCTTTTTAGCAAATGAAGAAAGTATCTTTAATTACAAAAAATGCATAATGTCAACTTAGGCGATTAGAAAAATACTATGACCCATTAATATACCTCTGACTTTCAAGATTTATGTGACAGTGAATAGTATGTCTTGACAGAATGTTTTCTTGACTATAAATTCAGGCGCTTCTGGTGTGTGGGCACTGTTTTCTTGCAGAGTTTTTTATTTCTCAATTTTAGCCTTTAAGCATTTTGCTAGAATGCTGCAATTCAAATTGCTAATTGATCCCTGGAATCCCTTGAATTTTATTTCTATTTAAATAGTTCCTAAACACATTCTCAGGATGAAAAGGAATTCTTGAAGATCTTTTCTGCTTCAGTGAGTGAGTTGAAATCTTTGAGGAAGATGTGAGTCGCTGAATAATATTTTATGAATCAGCTCAATAGTTCCTTGTTTTTATTTTAGGATTCTTGCTTGGATAGCTATTGAATTCTGGAGGCATGGAACAGGCAGGAGATAAATGGCCTGATACACAGTACAAGTTCTGGCATGAAGTATTTTTTTTTTTTTTAATTCATGCTGAATGACTTGCTTGCACAGCAATACTCCAAATTATTTTTTCATACATAGTTCACCTAACTTAACAGGGATGTGTTGCTTATGTGCCAGAATTTGAGCTCTTATTTCCAGAATCATTTTCTTTCATCCATACTGCTTGTTAAGTTATAGATGACACACTCATCAGTCTATCAACTTATTTGTATATTACTTTAATTAAATGAAGAACATGTGACTATTCGATTTCTGAAGCTCACTATAAATAACTTCAGTTTTTTAAAAAGTGACAATAGTTATGCATTTTTAGAAAGACAAAAATAATATATAAAATTATTCTCTAACAATAAAAAAGTGCTTTGACATCATATATTCTTGCCAATTGGATAGAGTAGTTTTAGAGTATGAAACGAATGAAAACCAAAGCATGGGTTAAATTTGCACAAATCATTTCTTTGTGTTGGTCTATGATCAGAATTGCATTACTAATTTGGGCACACGTTTTGCAAGTGCAAAGAGGCAATAGGGAAAGAAGTGTGGATGAACCTGTGCAAATCTGTTTTCGGTTACAAAAATGAAAGTCAAGGCACATAACCAATAATAGTGTATTTCATGTAGATTATTATCTTAAGTGCCTTGAATTGGGGATGACTGGGTTTTTGGTTGTTGTTGCCAAGCTTTACTTTTAAAATTTATTCAATTTTTAAAGAGCAAACAGACATTTGCATATTCTGGATTGAAAGGGTATCCTATTTTTGACACTCCAAAAGCCACTACTTTTTAGTGATGTTTATTATTAACAATATATTAAGATGTTTCTTTTCCCTCTCAAATTGAAAATTTACAAATTCTCTCTGGTGGTGCTTGATGCTGTCCAGATAATGCTGAAATCAATATTTAAACTTCAGCCACTAAATTCAAGAAAAATTTTCTGTCATATTCCATATAGTGACTCAAAAATAAAGTTTTCATCTTTAAGATCAGTACTCTTGATCAGATTTTTAAAAATATAAATATCTTTTAAAAACTCTCCAAATGAACAATTTGAATTATGAGGGGGTATCAATACTCAGGGTTATAGAAAGAGCCCTTGAAAACAAAGTCCAGTTCAATGTAGTTTTGTTTTATACAAATAAACAGCTTCTAAAAATATTGCCCATAGCTGTTAATTTAAAACAACAAAACAAAACAAAAAACTTAAACATGTGATACAGTGGCAAAAGACACAAAACTCTGTTCTCATTTCATTGGTGCCTACGCAATGGGGTTAGTTATTAAAGAGGAAAAGTCATAGTGTAGTATATTAAGAGACAGGATAATTATTTTTTTAATTGCTTAGTGAAATCAGACACAGACTAAATACATGAATAACTAGAAAATGTAAAGGTTTAATATATTTTGTTTTTCACTCTATGCTATAAAGTGAAGACCTGATTTTGTAATATAGCTGATAAATCACTGATAGAAAGGCATATTATTACATATCCAAACTTTATCATATAAACATTTCAAGCAGGATCACCGCAAGTCAGAAAAAAAATCAAAGTTAATAACAAATAAATACTCATGGAAGATCAAGTAGCTTAAAATTTGCTTTTAGAGAATGCATGTTCCTTTCGACTACAAAACAGCTCCTTTACTAACAGCAAAGTACAACCCAATTATGAGATTTGACAAGGTCATTAAATATTTCCATGTGAAAAGACAGAAGGAAGAACATAAAGTACATTTCTATTTTGCTGTTCTAGAACACTTAGCTCACCCTTTCTTTCAACATGGTTTCTTGCTCTCTGGGAGGTATTAAGCGCAGAGCAAGTGATGCTATGGTGGGCATCAGGACCATGTTGATAATATCACTTGGTCAGAAAGGGATGGTGTTAACTGCAACAGAAGTTAGAGTGCCTGATACACTTTGCTTTTAAATGCTGACATGCAGAACAAAACGATCGAAAGTTACTTTGTAGGAGCATTCACAGCTAGGTAACAAATAAAACTCGTATCTTGTGCATGCTAGGAGTGAAAGGCCCTCAGGAAAAGGAACAAAAGCCAAACTCAAAAGGAAAGGAAAAGAAAAGAAAAGTTACAGTGACCATTCCTGGAAACTTACTCAGAGTCTTTGTTCCATAACCGTCGTCACCTAATCCGGGGATGTCCTGCATGGAAGTCCCCAGAGAGAGCAATGAGAGAGGAAGAACAGCCACGGAAGAGGAAGGAAGAAGTCAGTGGAGTTGAAATGAATACTACCATGACAGACCGTGCTGCCTTAACAATCTGGATCCCATTCTCTCTTCTTTTAAACCAACTTTCACCCCAAACTCCTTGAGCTGAGATTCAAGAAGGAAATTTCTGATTTGCAGAGCAACTCAAGGTTTAAACAAAAGATTGTAAGAGAGAAAAAAATTCAGCAAATGCCGATTTTTGGCCCATGGTTGATCATGTTGCCACAAAAATGCCCCACTTAAGGAATAAACCTCTCCAAATTTCATAGCAAATTCTAAATGATATCCACCATTACAAGCTCAGTGCCCAGCAAGTGTTTAGTGTTTTGCAGGAGGGAAAGAGTGAGCAAATGTGTTAGTAATTGATAAAGATAATTTAATTGTTCCTAACATTCCAAAAAACATATGTGTCAATGGAATCCAATATTTCTTCTCAGAAAAGAATTTGTCTCAAGACTTAGAGAGTTGCATGATAGAAAAGGCAAACCAGACCCATTCCTGGTCAAAGAGAAATGTCGGTTGGGTGCAAGTCCCAGTTTCGGCAAGTTTTTGTCCAATGCCTTCTGCAAAGAAGAGTCATGTGAAAGGAGGGATCCAGACTGTAGTCAAACACTGGTCACAGTAGTAGACCTGCCCTGCCTGCCTGCTGTGTTGTTTGCCTAGGTGTGTGGCGTGGGAGAGCCTACATCCTGCGTGTTGCCTGTGAATTTATTTCTCTTATGTTGCATGTGACATTATCTTTGAGAATCTACTTACGTTCAGGATCACTGGTTTCCTGCTCACTCTGCTCCTTGTTCTTGTAGAATGGGAATTTTCGTGAAAAGATGAAGCTCTTTTTACGCTTGTCATTGAATGACTGTGAAGGAGAAAAGGCATGGGGCAAAAACAGGGGACGTCTAATTGTTGTCACACTCATGCTGACAAAACAACTAGTTTGTAAAAGCACAGAGAGCTGTAGTGACGCAAGTGAATAATTCTAAAGTGGTGCCAGAGAGTTCTAAAGGTCAATTTTATTTTCAAGGAGTATAAATTCTGAATAGTGGCACCTTAGAAAAATTGTCTCCTATGTAAAAGACTGGTTACAGATAAATGGTGATGGAGGGAAAGTCTTAAATTAGAAGGAGAAGACCCAGAATTTTTTTTGTGCTGGCTCTACATCTTGCTAGTTCATCACCTTAGAGAGGTAATTGAATCTCTCTGAACCTCAATATCTTCATCTGCAAAATGAGGACAATGATAGCAGCTCTTAGGTTGTGAGACCCACAAAGGACAATATAAATATAAAGTGCTATACAAATGTCTTCTTATCACCATCACGTAGAAAATACTTTATTGGAAAAACTGGTTTTCTTCTCAGTGTCTTGATGTCTTTTAAAATAATTTGAATTTGAGTTGCTTCTCTTAGTTTTAATTAAAACTGCACAAAGAAGTATGTAGATTAAGGATATATGATAATTATAGCCTTATACATGAATATATAATCATTAGAATATAACATTTTTATTCAAAAGAGATTTTTAACAATAATTTAGACCCATGTCCTCATTTTGTAGACAGGGAGGCAGAGGCACAGAGTTGCGTCCTGTACTGATATCACAGAGCTAGTTGGTGACAGCCAGGAGGCAATCAACCAAAATCTGTTAAAATTGCTGCTAAAGGGGTATTAACTTGATATTAACTTATCATAGGAAAAATGGCAGTGACTCAACTAGATCCTGATCAGGTAAAAAAAAGTAAGAATGACTGTCTTTAAAATTTTTAACTATTCCATTAGCTTAAATGAGGCTGAATTAAAAATAACACATAGATACATCATATGATACAGGTATTAGAATTTATTCATTCAAGTGGATATCATGTGCTTGCCTAGAAGATTCCTTAAGAAAATTCCATTAATTCCACTGCTGCTGTTCTTATGCAAATGCTTTGTGGGGTTTCTCTTTGGGAAATGCATTGACAGTCATTTTATAAGCTATTGGTCATGCAGGTTTTACTAATTTCATATTCATATATCATTAAAAAATATGTTTTACCAGATTGACTACTATCCTTGTTTGGCTGATTTGGCTCTGAGGGTCTTTTAGCTGCTGAAAAAATTAAAATCACTCTCCAAGGATCAAGATTTGTTAACACACAGCTATTGAAATGAAGGTGCCAAAGACTCTGAAGGTAATTTGAAAACAGGTATTCAAAAACATTTTTGGCAATGGCAGCTGTTAGGAATAAATGTAGAGCAGCAAGGTGACTACTTAGAAGGAAAGGAAACTTGCTTGGATGTGCACTTTTGTCCCATTGGTGGGAATTAGTCCTGTACCCTTATGAATTTGAAGCTAGACAAAATGGTATAAATAACTTATCTTCTGTGTATACTCATACATTCCCATATCAAATATCCATTTTCGTAACCATATTCATTTAGGAAACATTAAAGTACTAAAATGTTGGTGCTGTCACTCAGTAAGTAACTCATTACTTTTTTAGGTAGTAGAAACTTTCAGCAAAGTAATAGAGCTCAATTGTATGCCCATTAAGAATGTTTTATGAAAAATAGTGAATCAAATAATTAATAATTTCTGAAATTAGAGGACATATACTTTACATTCAAGTACTAAAATTACATTCTCAGAGGGAAAAAAAAGGTATCACTTCAGAATTTATTACTCTGCTGACAGCACCTATGCTCAATATGGTTTTATCATCATTTGTAATTTAGGGTTGGTGTCCAAAAACAAGGTTGAGAACTGCCCCCAAATTTTCCCAGTTAAAAATGACAGTCCTTAAAAGAATACTAAATATTCTTGCATCACTCCAGTTTCATGCCACTTTTACATTTCAAGCATATTTAAACTTCAGTAACTGAAAATAAAAGAAAAAAATCATGTAAGAATTAATGGCATGTGATATTGCAAGGTATGTTGGACATTTAACTTCAACATCACCAATGACTTGTCATGCAAAAAAAAAAAAAATTACAAACTTTCATGCAAATACAAAACAATGCCAAGAGGAGTAAAGCCTGGGGTGAAAATGCAGACATAGAGGGACAATGTAGAGGGCTACGAGGGCCCAAAATGGGGCTGCATGCAAGCCACATCATTTAAATGGTCTCAAGGGTCAAAGGAATATGAAAATGTGTTATCTGTGATTAATTCTTTTATGTTTCAAAGCAAGGACTATAATGTGTTAACATTTCCCAAGTATGAAAATGTTGTGTATCATGAATCATCTGATTGGGACATAATACTACTAAGCACCACACTTTTCAAAAGAACAGAAAATACACAACAATACTTTAAGAATAAACATATCTAATGTGTCAGTCTTATTAGCAAAAGCCATTTCAGATTGGAATTAAAGATAAGGTAATGAAACTATTGGTGGTTACATTTCCTTTCATTTGTGGACAAAAAAAAACAAGTCACAATTTCAGTTCACATTCACAGACTTAAAAGTCATATGTTTAGGATCTTAGCTAAACATTTAAACTATAAGAGATTATATGTGGTTTATAATGCTTTAACAGTATTCTTTATTTTTTATTAGACATGTGTAATACCATTATATAAGCTTTTTTGCTGCTGTAATTTTTTTCTTTTAATATAGAAAAGGAAAATCTGTTACATGAGTGCTAGGTGAGAATAATAAATTAGCAATTGTACTATTTATAGAACACATGGTTCTGAAGCAACCGATGACTGATTTACAGCTCTATTCTTAATTATACTTGATCAATGATATTCTTTGTCTGTCTACATAACGGTATCTTAGATCTAGATCCATTGCTTTCATAGCAGAAAACATCTTTAAATAGAGACTTTGAAAATACCCATCAAATGTGGCATGGGGCAAGTTGGCATATCTAAAAATTCCATTTTGGAATTTGACCTAAAATGTTGAGTTCTAACTAATAAAGATGATAAAACAATAACATTTATTGGGCACTTATGTGCCACATTTGGTTCCAAAAGCTCTGCATGAATTAATCTCCATGCTAACTTCATGAAGTTAGTACCATCATTATTCCCATATTACAGAAGAGGAATCTGAAGTGTATAAATCTTCTATCATTTGCCCCAGAGCCACAAAATTGGTGAGCAGAGAAGTCAGAAATTGAATTTGCAAATATTCCTGGTTGCAAATATCACTGTTTTTAAGAGCATCACAAGTTTCTGCAACTTAAGCCTGCTTCAAGTTTATATTGAAAATTATTAGTGCTTGATTCTCTTAAGTGTGTTCTTCCCATAGCTTGATGCTTGAAGATTATTTATTTAAATCATCAGATGGTATTGGATTCAACAACATCTCTTTTGGTTATCCTGTTACAATTTTTGTGATACTCATTCATATTTTTTTGGCCTTTCTTCAATTTTTCTTTTTATGATAATGTTAAAAAAAGAAAGAATTTAAGTGTGACAGGCCATGAATGGCAATTAAAAGGTAATTGCCCATTAAGTGGCAAATCTGTGGAAACAAAGGTAAACTGGTTGCTTAGGGCTGGGGATAGTGGGCACAGAGATTGGGAAGTGGCAGCCAATGGGTATGAGGTTTCTTTTGGGGAGATAAAATGTTATAAAATTAGATTGAAGTGATGGTGGCATAACTCTATGAATATACTAGAAAACATTGAGTCATATACTGTGAGTGAATTGTATACTATGTGGATTATATCTCGATGAAGCCATGTCTTTTTAAAAAGGACCCTCTTCCCAACCTCACACCATGGACTGAGAAGAAACATAGCAGGTTTCTAATTTTATTTGGTGTAAATAATTTTTATCTTTAATTGAATAAGAATAAACCACTCATTCCAACCCTTGCAGTCAATTAGATACACATGTCTTTTGTTTATCTGATTTTGTTTTGTCTCTGTTAAATGAATACCTTTCATGTTGTGACAGACATTAGAACACCCATACTAGGAGTCACTATTACTCAGAAGTCTCCAAGTTGTTAGGTCAAATGGCATGAAATTGCCCAGCCTGACCCTGAGATGTAATGGCGTTGGTGAACCGGCTTAAGATGAAATACATGCTTCATGAAAGGAAACAAAACAAAAACCTCAAATTATTTTCCTACTCAAATCCCATGTTTTTAAACACACATGAGTGAATCTTGACATATTTTTATCCTTCTCATCCAGAAAACTTTAAAACTAGGGACATGTTTTAGTTTTTCAAGCTTTAAAAGTTTCATAGTTCTAGAATGTCATCTTAGTGATATGAGTGTTCTCTGGGCAGAATTTAGGTTTAAATTTATACTGAGCTCAGATACATCTTTTCTGTGACCTCCTTATTGTTTTATACATGCTATTTTACTCTCCTCATTTCTCCTCTAAAATAATTATGTTCCCCTGGGAAAGTTGTTACTGTATATTTGGGTCACTACTTTGTATTATACAAATCTTATTTTCACACACATAAAAAGAGAACTTTGAAAACAAGTGAGGTAAAAGAACAAGTAATAATGTAACAAAGAGGGGTTAAGGGAAAGATTAGAGTTGGCTTGAGATATATCTGTTTACAGAAATGTGTCTATGTGAATGCATGTATACATGTGTGTCTATAATCGCCTAATTAAAAAAAAAGATTATTTTGCAAACCTAATGAACTAATGGATGTAGGCATTGAGTATCAGTAGCTGCTACAATCACAAAGAGACAGTCAGATGTTTCATGCCTTCTGATAAAAGAATAAAGTATGACTACAAAGTAGTCTTGCAAACCTCTATTTACTCCCAAAACAAAACTCCCTCAAATGAATCAGAATCTAACCAAACCTCTGGATTCAACTACCAGTTTACAGCAACAAAGAGGACAGAGAAACATGGTAATTTATACTATAAAAATGCAATCAGCAA